ATATGAGGACCCTATAGGCAGAGTGCATAAGTAAATGAATTCTGTAGCTAAAATATGTACCTGTTTTGTTCTCCCAGCGACCAATCACTATAACAATGGAACATGATATATCAAAGAACCTATTAAAATAACTCAATTACGCGAGTGAAGTAACCTCATAAATGATTTTGAACTGATTCTAAAAGAACCTCAGCTCTTCTTCTGGGACATGCCTTTGAATCTCATCGGATCTGCCTGATATCAGTCGGAAGGAGCTGAAGAGAATCAATTAATTTTAAGGGTGAAAAAGCTATTAGAGGAACGGCCCTCCATTAATCAGATCATTAGCGAGGGGAATTAATCCGACTGTGATATTGATTGCTGTGCACGTGTGATTGGAGTGTGTGTACTCTGATTGGATGGATCTAACGGTGCCTATTTTATCATTCCGAGTAATTCTCAAGTGCTTCTCTTCTGGTCAAAAGCAATTCTCGAAATCTCATTCGCCTTGGTTTTAGATAGAGAAAGTTTCTTCGTCTTCCTCAGGGACAAACCTACTATTGAAGCAAATTGATTTTACATTTAGCACTATGTCATAACATTTATATTTATGTTTCACATGACTTTATGAAATGGCATGTTCATTTGCTATCACTACTATGAAAATTAATTTTATATTACATTGTCCTTCTTTAAAGCTATAATAAAGTTAAAAATTATAAAAATTTACAAAATTAAAATATGCAAATAGAATAAAATGAAAAAGTAACAACAATATTTTTACTTTTTTTTTTTAAGTTGTTTTGTAACTTTTTAATGTTTTGTACTAACGAATTCATTGTTAATTATTATATTATTTAAGAGCTAAAATGGCCCGTAAGTGGTTGAAAAACCCACATAGTTATAAATAAATAAACCATATTGAAGAAGAGCATACGTTATTTAACCATTATACCTTTATTTTATGAGCTTATATAGTTATCATCTTTATTTTATTTTGTTCATTGTAACCAGTGCCGATCTTAGACATTCGGCGCCCCCGGTAAATGACGTAATCTCCCCACCACTAAAAAAATTTATTTCTTAAGCAATTTTATATTAAGTAATATTTGAATTTTACTGCATTAAACATTTCTCAAATAGAGTTGCTTTATTGAAAGGCTAAACTTAAGTATTTTAATACGCTTTGAATCTTTTTTGTTATTTCTTACAAGTGATGAGCGCCACCGAAGATCGACCGGCGCCCCTAGAGGCGCCCCTCCACATCGGCGCTCGGGGGCAATAGCCCAAGTCGCCCCACCATAATGCCGCCACTGATTGTAACCCTGAAGGAGGCCTATATTATCAGTTAAAATATCTATATTAATTAAATGTTTTTTTGTGTCTCTGGCTTTCTTTTTGATTAAACGATAGTGACAACTAGTCGTAAATCTATGATCGGAACATTAGGTTTGCGGGACTGCTAACATAAGCCAAAAAAAAAGGAAAGCATTGAGATTTTAAAGTTACAAAAAAAAATCTCTGTCTTTTTCATCCTCTCTTTCTAAATCTACCTAGTGCATCCAATCCTTCCAGTCCAAAGTCCTTGGAACAATAGTCGATGCTCCTTTCTATGTTACCAATATAACCTTATACCATTACCTTAATATCCCATTTGTCCTAGACCTAGAAAGCAAAATTCTCCAAATTTCACCAGAACCTTACCTATTATCCGAATCCCTTTGCACAGTCAAGAAGGCTAAAACGGCAGTGGCCCCGCGACCTTTTATAGCTTGTAAATATTGAAGTTCTGGCAACGGCCAGATTCTTCACTCACGATATAAGTGTATGGGGTGGCTAAAGCACTCTCGCTCAATTTCCACTGGGTTTAGCCCCAGTAACGCTGTTGAGAGAGAAGTGCAGGGATCGCCTGGTGTAATGCTTTTCCCACCACAGTTGGAGGGACAACTTTTGCTCGGAGTTCTCTCGCCTGATTATAAATAGTTTATGTATGTGTTCTTGTTTATTTATTTATTTTTTAGGTTATTTTAAACTTATTTATTGTATATATACATTATCACCGTTGTACATAGAGTGTGAATGTGATCTATGAACACTATTATAAATATCCTTTGAGACAGATAGTTATATTTTCTATAAACATAAAAATAAAAAAAATATATACCTAGTACATCTATCATTCCAATTTAGGAATGTTTGCATGGCGGAAATATAGACATGAAAACAAATAACGATATATTGTATTATAAAACAAATGATAGAGGGGGTTAGAATTATAGAATGGCGTGAGTCGATTTTGCTTTTTATCCAGAAAGTGGATTTTATAAATGAAATTACATATGACATATGCATTTTATGGACATATAATTACAATATATTCAACTTATCAATCTAACACTCCCTTACAAATTGCCTTTTGAACGAATATTGAGTTGTGTTAAAGTGTTTAAACATTCAATCGTGTAATATTAGTGTTTGTTATTATACCGGGAACGAAACTAACTTGTATAGCTCAGCGACACGCGGGGCCACATGTCACTTAAACTGTCTCAATATTCATGATTGAGTAGAGGTACTTTAGTTTGATAGTAAAGAATGGCTCTACCCGGTTTGCCTTGAAGGAACTGCGAGTGAAATGAAAAATTTTCCTACGGAGCCAAAGCCAGAGAGAACGGAACTATTACTAACTTCGAGAAATTCATTGCTACTGTAGTTTGAGATGAGATCGGCTTATTAACTACAGAAATCAAGGAAGTAATAAATCGAAAAAAAATCTGAAGAGCTGTGCCTGATTTGGCATTAAAAATAGAAAATAAATAAAACTATGACTTTAGTGCTATCACTTACAGATTCATTCTCCAGGATTTGCATTACACAACATGAGATGAATCTCAAAATTTGTCCTAATAAACGTCAAATTAATTAATATGAACTTAAAGCTTGTCAAACGAGAAAGTTTTCCTGTAAGCGAGTGAAGTGTAGTACAGCTGAAGGATGTTAAAAAAGAATCACAAACTTTTTTTAAAAATTAAACTTAGCTGTGTTTGTTCGCCAAATAATCCTCTTTAAATAGTTTTAACAATGACGAAATCTACTTCCGTTTAAAGTAAATTTTGTCTGGTTAAGTATAGAGCAATGTTCAGTTACTTAAATCAATTTTTTTTTTTTTTATGTTATCGCTTTCTATTGAACAAAAAACGAGACTAGCTTAAAAAAAACATAAATCTTAAATTTCTTACTTTTCATGCTACAAATCGGGCATTTTGTACAAATCGGGCATGAACTTTTTTTGTAGATCTTGGTGTCTACTATCAACCATTTAAATATTTTCCTCTACTTACGGGACACCCTGTACCTGTATAATGAATCGTTAGAAAGCTGAAGAATTAAAAAAAAAAATAATATCTAACTTATGATGTCCTGGAAGGTAATGGAAATTGACGAAAAAAATATGAACAAAAATTTAAGAATACTAATAGTATTCAACATAAACCACATGTTTTCAAGGAAATTAACTGAATGTTCCTAACTAAATGCAATAGTCCTTGGTACAGACCACTATTTATCAATTTATTAACATCCAGCTGAAACTTAGTAAATAGTTTCATCTCATCGAAACCTACAAATATTTTATTTGCGAAAATTTTCGGCGCGTTTTCAATGTGGAGTTCGGCAAACTTTGTCCATTTAATTAGTTACTAAAAACTCATAAATACTCATTTATGTTCCACTTGGATCATAAGATGATTTGATCACAAAATCGATAAAAAAGGTGGCCTTTAAAAAATATTAAATATTAAAGGGCTGTTTGGCGTGACCTAATTTTGGCGTGACACCCCCAAATTTTCAAAATAACGAGGTTCTATAGGACAAACGACTCAATATTTTTGAAGGCCACCATTTTTCTCCATTTTGTGTTCAAGATATCTTACAATTAAAGTGGAAAGCAAATGGGTATTTACGGGTTTTTAGTATCTAATTAAATAGACAAAGTTTGCCGACCTCCAGATTGAAAACGCTGCATTTCAGAGAATTTTCGTTAGCAAAAAAAAAATAAATATTTTATAATAGAATGATGCCGTTCACGAAATTTCAGACAAGTGATGATAATTTAATAAAAAGAATTCAGAATCCCGGGCTATACCTTTAATTCTAGATTTGTTGTTTAATATCTATGGCTTCTTGCTAGTGTTGCCCAAAATAGGTCTTGGTCTTGCACTTTGCATGACCAAGACCAAGGATGCCTAGCTGTTGCAATAACAAGACCAGGACTGAAAAAAAAATAGATTTTTTAAATAAAATTTAAGGGAAAATATTTACTAATAGTCGACAATCTTAGTTAATATATGTTAATAATTGCTATGACCAATATACTTTTGCATTTAAATGCTCTAATTTTTCATTCGGTCTATGTTTGGTTTCACCTTTCTAAAAAAATACAGCAATATCTCTATAGTAATAAGCTAATACTGTTGCGAGACTCTTGCGCAAGACCAAGAGCATAAACAAGATTGAGTTTGAAAGACCAAGACTCTTCTCGGTCTAGCATTTGGGCAACACTACTTCTTACATTTAAAACGCTTTAAATTAACGTGATTTTGCCAAAGTCGGGGAAATATTTCAATAGCACATGAGCAAACATTTAATAGTTTGACTTTATCTATAGTTATATCACCTGAATGTTAAAGGAACTTTTTCTCTTCATATCATATGTGATAATTGGTATATTATTTTCCTATTTTTTGTCGTACTCAGTCTCTTTATGGAAAAGTTATCTTCGAAGCAACAGACTATACCGCTAGCAGACTCTATTCCCGGAAGACTGTTCGAAACTAAAATTAATTGAGCAGAAAATTGAAGGTTCTTTTTCCTCCCGTTTAAAACCGGCGTCAGCTACCCTTTCGTCACGGTGGGGGCTCGTGTTATGAGCTGTAAAGATAACACAAAAAAATTAGCAGCACTCATTATTGATTACCGGCCTGCCCCCGTTTTCGAAAATTAATTGTTATCGAGTGGTGGTGCTATTCTCGTTCGTTCACATCGTTCACCAATCGAAGGACCTCCACCTGTCTGTGAACTTCCATACCGAGCAGGGCGGCAACACCTGAACGAAATTGGTTAATCGGAGAGGTAGATGATTGGTTTCCTGTGCACTGAGTCTTGTTATCCTCCCAATAGGAATCCCTCTTCCGTTTGATCCACTCACGGGGACTACTAATTTATCGCGCTGGAATGTTGGTGTGAAATGCGTTTGATTTAGTCATCTATCATTGGCTGATAATTGAGTAACAATATATATGAGCCTTTCAGTCAACAGAATGATTAACTCTAATTTAAACATTTTTGATTAAAGTCATTTTATTGATATTTCTCGTTGGAAAATTTATATCTATACAGACAGTGAGTGAGTTGATTCAAAAGTAGATGATTGCATTGTTAGTGCACAGTGAGAACTGTGAATAAAGGTTTAAATTTTCTCACTTGAAATATCACTTAAATTAATACTAAAGTATATAATAAAGTGAGAATAATTAATAATAAAGTGATTCAACTTACTCACTGCCTGTCCAAATATAGATTTTCCAACTAGAAATATTACTTAAATTAATAATAAAAAATCTTGAAATTAGAGTTAGTCATTCTGTCAACTGAAAAGCTGCAGTATTTACACCTGATAGGAAACCTAAAATAAGTCTAAATTCATTTAATTTATTTTTTCGAATCGAAAAAATGATTAACCTAAACAATTAAATTTATGTTGATGTGTATTGATCTATAACTAGTGTTGCCCAAATGCGAGACGGAGACGAGTCTTGGTCTTGCAAATTAAGTCTTGGTCATGGTCTTGGTCTTACGTAAGATTCTCGCAACAGTATTGCAGTTACTTATGAGCTTATTACTATAGAAATATTCCTGTAATTTTTTATATAGGAGAAACTCATCTAAGCTGGAATGAAATAGAGAAGTTAAATGCTAACGTATATGGGTATTACCAATTATTACGATGTAGTAACTAAGATTGTCTAGTTTTAGTAACTATTTTGCCTTAATTTTTAATAAAAAATTGATTTTTTTACTAGTCCTGGTCTTGAACTTGCAACAGTTAGGCGACCAATTTTGGACAACACTATCTATAACTCCTATATATTAGTTGATAAATATGGCTCCAATAACGATAAAGATCCTATAGGACTTAGAAATCACTATTTGATACAAAAACATCAATTATTTTTAATTTTCAATAATAATAAATTATTTGTAAGTTATTATTAAATAAAGCCTATTCACTAATAAATTACATTATATTAAGTTAAAAAATATAGCAAATTAGAAAAACTACGATTCAATAAAACATTTGACTGTTCGTCAATTATCTGATATTTTCATTAATGTATTATGCTGCATAGGTTAGAATCATAATTTAGGTGCCATAGTAGGCGTATGCAGGTTAGCATTAACATGTAAGGTTTAGCTTTAGAGCGAAACATATAATTATATATTTTTTTAAATTTAAATTTACATTAATTTATTATAATAATTAATTTTAAATTTATTTAATATCAATATTTTTTTTTTTTTACTTTTATATGCAATTTTCTTAAAATTTATGAATCTTCCGTTTTTATAAGGGACCAATATTGTAATTTCGATTTATAATGTTAGTATTTGAACTTTATGTATGTGCGTATTACAGATAATAACAAGCATGTAACATTTTATATTCATGTGAATATTTTTATGTTACTATTACTTTTTTTAAAGTTATGGTGCTTTCTCATGTAAGTTTGTAACATAAATTATCTTTTATCATTTAAATCATTACGTACAAGAGAAAAAACATTATACGCAGTATGCATTTCAAGGGCATGGAACTTGTATGCTGGAAAGGAATTATCTTTGTTATGGGTGCATCGTAAAAGCAAAATTCAAAGAAAAATAAATTGTATGTATATTTATATACACTTGTGCACTAGCGGATCCAGGATTCAATTTTGGAGAGGGCTTCAGCCCGGAAGATTTTTTATTTTTGTATATATATATATATATATATATATATATATATATATATATATATATATATATATAACGATAATTACTTAGGAAAAACAGAAAGATACTAACTACCTACATGAAATAGTGTTTAAGTGATTCTTAAGGTCCTATGAAATTTAATTAAACCAGCAATAATACTTAAAGACATAATTTTTCAACATAAAACATGGTTTTATTTTACTATTTTGGGAGGGGGGCTTCAGCCCGAAAACTCCCTCTTCCCCCCGTAGATCCGTCTGTACACTTGTGTATATATAAGAAGATTCCGAATCTCCTTGATGTATCGAAAATGGATTGAAACGTGGGGACGGGTACTTTTACAATATTATTTCTAACAGTCCGTTCTTTAGGCCGCTCTTCAGAAATGTATTGGTAATGGATTTTATATAGGGCCACGTTTCTATATATTTTTCTCTCTCCATTTTCCTAATGTAGATTTTCTTTTCTTTTTTTTTGTTATTTTGAAATTTATTATGTTTGTTATGAAATAGTTTGTAGTATTTTAGTTTTGTGAGTGAATAATAATTTCATAAATTAACTAATTACGTCAGAACTTGATTATTTATGTTTCGTATTCAATATTACTGTTATAAAGCTCCCTAGGATTTGACCATATCGTTATTGTTAGTGAATGTAACAATAGTACATGTTTATTATATTTGTGCTAAAGGCAACATTTTGCTGTCTAAAACTGCAGTTTACTACTATGGAAAATAGCAGAAGGAAATAAAATATGAAATCATACTAATAAATCATAAGGAAAAAACCAGTTTTTATGTTCTTCTGTAAAAAAAGTTAATTTTTACATGCGCCCTTTTACATTAGCAGTTGCGATATCTGTATTAAACGGATTGATAAAGATTTTTTTTTTCATTTGGTAGTCGTCATAGTTTTTACTACTAATCATACATATAAGATTTCTACTAAAAAATAGGTGACTTTTTTTTTCTTCAGGAGTAAATTTGGTATTCGAGTAATGTGTATAAGTCGAAGTCTTCAGATGGAAATATTTCTTTTTAGTTTACTTTTTTAAGGAGCGGGGTAGCTCAGTGGTAGGGCACTGAGCTTCCAATGCAAAGGTCCCGAGTTCGAACACCGGCTCATGGCAGAAAATTCATTTATCTGTTTCATTGGCCGTGGGGCGACCTTGGGTCAGGAGTCCCTCCTGGGGCACACCCAGCCTCTATAAAGCGGGTACCCTTAATTAAATAATTAATTAGGGAGGAAAACCTGGCGGTTGAGCGTGATCTCGGTCAAATCACCTTGCACAACCGTGGACCTAGAAACAGTGCTTTACCTAAATAGTACTGAACCCCAGACCCTTTATGGGTTGTAGTGGTACAGGTTTTTTTTTTTTACTTTTTTAAAAATATTTGTTTATGCTGTATGTCATGGTGAATTGGAATTAGTGAAGAAAAACTTTTCGTAAAGTTTGAAAAGCATGTTTACTGAATTTTATGATTACTTAGATATTTGTTCAGTTATCGTTAGTGTGAAACACGATAAAAAAAAATATATATATATATATATATATATGTTGTCCTATTAGGGTGCCAATAAAACTATGATGTTTAAAACAACAGCTAAAGCTCGAGTAGTTCCGAACCGATTGGAGAAACAGAAGTATATGCTTATGATTATATGCTTACTGAAGTATATGAAACATAGACAGATCATAAATACGGCAACCTACGTTTCAGTAATCCTGGTTCATTGTTTATATGTAATTGAATAATAGGTAAAAATAAAAACCTCTTTTGAATTGATTTTTAATATTTTTTTTTAACTCTTAATTCACGGACCGTTAAGGATTTCATTTGTTTTTATATATTAAGCTTGTTTTTAATAACGCCTTAAAGACTAAGGTATGATATTGAAGCGACCTCAGAAGAAAGTGGGTCTAAACCTGCCTCTGTGAAGTTTGCTAAGCAGGAATTCTTTAAGGAGCCCATACAAAGTTTCATATTATGTCGGGTACGAACCGCTTTGTGCTCAGCTTGTTGAAAAAAACCCAAAAGAATAAACCATCCCGGAAAATCGTTCAGCCTTAAACCGCCTGAATTTGTACGATAAAATATACCACGGACATTGTGCCTATATTAAATCCCTCGAATGTTTGTTTTGACGCAGTTTTAACTCTGGGTATTGTTTTTTTCCTTTTATCGACGGATACTGTTTTGGTGAAGATTTATTACTCGATGAAACGAGGCGGGTCGCTACTAGGAGCGGTTTGTTGTTATAACTGGGTATCGTATGAAAATGTTATTTTATTGTCGTCCACTGCTGGAGCATATAAATATAAATTGTTGTCAATGGGATATATATATATATACTGGGAATATATAAATACTGGGCATATATATATGCGGATTATGACAGTATTCGAAATCTTTGGTTATCTATAGTATGGTTGTTGATTTAGGCAACACCTGTGACAATGAAATAACATTCACATTCTATACACGGTATATATATACATATACATATACACGTATACATACATATACATAGACAAACTTCATCAGCCTTATTCAACCATATGTAACTATATTTCCTTTAACTAGTTGACCATAAAAAGTTGCTATTAGGCACTTAAATTAATAATGATTAAAATGTTATATTTGGACTCTTTGAACTCTTTTCCTAAAAATGTAGTATTTTGCTTTACTGCATATACTAGAGTCTTATCTTAATAATAATAATATTTTTATTCTAACAAAAACACTAATGATATAAACTTTATTTCTTTGACCTATGCTAATCATTTTTTACCACTCTAACTTTTTAACATTAACGGTTCCATTTATAAGGAGCATCGGATATAGCTCTGGAGCCAGAGCCCAACAATCGACCTGATCGCAGGGAACGTTTGAATGTAAATTATGAAAGTTTGTTTTTCTAAGTAAAATGAGCCTTGCCTGCCATTCCAGAGCCGCTGCTTTCAAAAATGGCGGCTGATTTTGAAGAATATTAGACCAGTAATTTGAGGATCGATATGGGAAATCCATTGTTTATTCGAGTTTAGAAATGCGTCGAACGAGTATATAACCTTTATAACTTGGTTACGCATCAAATTTTGCAAAGGTAAACCTGATTTTCAATATTTCAACAATATGGGTGTCTATTCTACAGAGTTATTTTTGTACTCTGTAGAGGCAGAATTTGATGCTCTTCAACTTTGATTCTATGGGTTTTTCCTCTTAGGGACCTCTTCCATGTTACAGGGCCAATTATAGTAATTAGTCTTAGTTTTTGAAAAATTTGGTAAAAATCAACGTTGGTTGACGGTGGTTTTATACTTTACCACGTAATCAAATTATAAAGTTTATGTACTCGCTCGACGTACAATTTAACTTTCTTTAATTTATTAAAGGGCACACTTATCGCTTTGATGTATCGATTAGGAGTTACAGATGAAAAAACAAAAAAAGCTGACTTTTTTGGCTGTAATAAGTTTTACCGAAGTGGTCTGCTTTAGCAATTTTGTTTTTTAGAATGGAATAGAATATAAAATAATTCTATTCTGGGACAAAGTACCTTTAGAATAACAAAAAAGTATAAAAATAGTATTTTATGTGTCTAAACTCGTATATACAAATTAAAAATAAAAACTTTTCTCACATTTTTCACAATGGATTTCCCGTACCGATTCTCAAATTACTGGCGTAATATTCTTTAAATCAGCCACCATTTTTGAAAGCAGCGGCTCTAGAACGGCAGACAAGTTTCTTTTTACTCAGAATAACATGCACTTTCGTAATTTACAATCAAACCTTCGCCTGCGATGAGGTCGACTTTTGGACCCTGGCCCAAGGGCTAATATACTATTCCGCACAACAAAAGATACTCAAGTTACATCTAATAGATTGTAATTTATAATTTCTTTTGTGTTGGATTCATGGCGGAGTTGTATTGGGCTGCCAGAAGTCGAATGGTCTAACAGCCAACGGCAGAGGCGTTTAATAAAAAAATAATATAAAATAAAATTTTTTTGTATGCATAATTTTCTTCCAATCAAATCGCAATTTTTTTTTTATTGTAACATCGCTTAGAACCGAGTCTAAATCATGAAATATAGTAGACTACTATTCCATAACCTAAATATTACACCATTGATTATGATTATTTTTTTAAGTTTCTAATTATAATTGTGTAATTACAACCATGCGAAATTCAGGACATTTAACTTTTTTCGAAGATTTCTATTCTTTATCTAATGATTAAAATTAGGAAATTTAACCTTAATTTTATAAGTGTTTCATTTTGTGATTAGCATTCCTAATATCAGACACCGTTCGATTCATAGTTCTTCGATGGACTCAACATTTTTTGAAGCTTTTAAGTTTTTTCTAAGAGAATATTTAGTCATTATCGTACAGACTGTATAACTCATTTTAAAAAAATATAAATGCAGATTTCTGATATAACAATTTAATTTTCGGAATAAAAAGTTGTGAAACTACAATTATTTTATTAGTAATTATAAGTTTTATATTAAAAAAAAAAGTATAAAATAAACAGTATCTATGAGATTTTTGCTTTATTCGTTTAATATGTACAATAATATTTCAAAAATTGTCGTTACATATTTTCTTACATTACTACGTGTCAGGTATATGAATAAAAAAAAAAATTGCTAGAAGTAAAAAATGTATTGAGAGACAATCATACAAAATCTTAACACATAATCAATTAAACATGAAAATTGAGCTAATTTTATCAAAATACAAATAAAAAAATGTAAGATAGCAGTTGATATGACATGAGATAATAAATATAGTAGTAGGATTTGGCTTACAAATGAAATATGAAGCAGATACATCTGCTGATTTTAATTTAACATTGGTAGTGTAGTGCACTAGCATCCCCGAAACATTTAAATAATAAAAAGAAACTATGAACATTATTTTTTTTTTAATTCAGCAAATGGGATAAGAAAGTAACTATTGCTTAAGTTGAATATTTGCAGTGGAATAAGAAAAACAATTTTAGGAACGAAGAAACGGTCCAGGATGGCAGTCAAGAAGGAAGTTCAAATGTCATAAACAGTGCATGTATGTGTGTATATAAGTATGTATAATTATATATATAGTTTCCTTATGTATATAAATTATATTTTGTTTTTGTTGTTAATTTTAAGGATTATAATCTAGTTTTTCATTAATATCTTATGTAGGTTTTTTATGAGGTTTTTCCTACTGTATAAAATGGATTTCAATCTTCTAAACAGCATTCATACCACTAGTATGTCATGTATAAGGTTACTGCAACCACAAACATATAATTAATTTTTAAGACATGATGTAATGTATATATAAATAAAAAAAAAAATAAAAAAAAAAAGTGTCATAAACTAATTATCGAAACCAAAGTTTCGACGCACTTTACTGTTCTTCATCAGGAAGAAATAAAAAAATAAATAAAAATTGGGAACTATTGTGGGCAAATCAAAAGATTAATGATTGTGAGTTGATGGTTGACTGTAGTGAATAATGAAGAGAAGGATAGTTGGGGTGATCAGTCAAAAATAAAAATGGCGAAAAATAATAGTAATATTTATTTTAACATTTGCCGACGTTTCGACCCGAAGTTCAGGCCTTCATCAAGGCTGATCGCCATTGATCGAAGAGATCGCTAATGATAAAATCAATAATCATTAATCAAAAGAATAATGACGTGTAGGAAATGAAATAACTATGAAAACAGTAGATGAAAAACATAAAGAGTGAATTACAAACTGATAAATATCCAGCAGACAAATAAATAGAAAATGGTTAATTAAACTTGTACTAAATAATGAAGAGAAGGATAGATGGCGGATCAGTAAAAAATTAAAATGAAAAAAAAATAATAGTATTTATTTTAACATTTGCCGACGTTTCGACCCGAAGTTCAGGCCTTCATCAGGGCTGATCGCTATTGATCGAAGAGATCGCTATTGATAGAATCAATAAATAGTGAACAGAAGGATAGTTGGCGGATCAGTCAAAAATAAAAATGACAAAAATAAATAATAATATTTATTTTAACATTTGCCGACGTTTCGTCCCGAAGTTCAGGCCTTCATCAGGGCTGATCGCTATTGATAGAATCAATAAATAGTGAACAGAAGGATAGTTGGCGGATCAGTGAATAATAAAAATGGCAAAAATAAATAATAATATTTATTTTAACATTTGCCGACGTTTCGACCCGAAGTTCAGGCCTTCATCAAGGCTGATCGCCATTGATCGAAGAGATCGCTAATGATAGAATCAATAATCATTAATCAAAAGAATAATGACGTGTAGGAAATGAAATAACTATGAAACAGTAGATGAAAAACATAAAGAGTGAATTACAAACTGATAAATATCCAGCAGACAAATAAATAGAAAATGGTTAATTAAACTTGTAATAATTAATGAAGAGAAGGATAGATGGCGAATCCTTCAAAAATTAAAATGAAAAAAATAAATAATAGTCTTTATTTTAACATTTGCGAACGTTTCGACCCGAAGTTCAGGCCTTCATCAGAGCTGATCGCTATTGATCGAAGAGATCGCTATTGATAGAATCAATAAATAATGAAGAGAAGGATAGTTGGCGGATCAGTCAAAAACAAAAATGGCAAAAATAAATAATAATATTTATTTTAACATTTGCCGAAGTTTCGACCCGAAGTTCACACCTTCATCAGGGCTGATCCCCATTGATCGAAGAGATCGCCACTGATAGAATCAATAATCATCATCATCAAAAGATTAATGACGTGTAGGAAATGAAATAACTTATGCAAACAGTACATGAAAAATATAATGAGGACGTTAAAATATAAACGATAACTGATATTGAGTGAATTACAAACTGATAAAGATTCAGCAGACAAATAAATAGAAAATGGTTAATTAAACTTGTAATAAATTTAGTAAAACAAAAAGGAGTAAATATAGATTGAGGAAAGAATGAATATTCAACAGGAAAAAATCTTTTTTGTGATAAATAGAATGAAGAGCTTGTAAATGAATATTGAATTTTGTAATATTTAAATCATGCATACAATTTTTAATGTTGCTTTATGAAGGCATTATATTAATTTAACCTTTTTTTAATTTTTACTTGTTTATGTAGAAGATGGCCCTTACACACATTCGAAATGTTTAGTGAAGTAGCTTTTACTTTTCGCACCTCATATATGCTTCAAGTAAAATGATTGATGCGGATGTTAAGCTCATACCCCCTGGTCGGCCGTTTTTACCATTTGACGGTTGTACACAGTTTTTGATTTTGTACTCTTGTAGGAGTTAATGTGCTTGTGATAGTTAATTATAAATAATTAGTTGCAAACTCGATAGTTTGCATGTGAAAATATTTGGGTAGCTATACCGTTGTTACTAAAGCTTCTGACAGCACGTGCTTTTTGTAATATCAGTTTCCGAATTTTCGCAGCACAGAGGTTACGCCTCAAGATAATGATAAGGTGATAAGAAATTTATGTAACGTCTAAAAATGAATAAATTGATTTTAATTCATTAATTAATATTTACAGCCTTTATAGACTTTTATTTCTGGCAAGAAGAGTAATGTCATAGTTAAGTTAATAAAACCTGGTTAAAAAATACATACATCTTTAAAATTTTTAATTCTTAAAAATGAAAAAAGTTTCTATTCAATACTCTGATTGTGATTCAAAATAAAGTATTATTTTGTAAAATTGATCAGAAATCCGTCTATGAAAATATGATCAAGATCGAACAATTTTTTTTTCTTTATTTTACACATAAATATAATTTTACAGAAATACAATACATATATAAATGATGATAATAAACAATATTTTCAACAAAGACTGGAGGACTCACCTGTTTTGCACGGATCCAAGTCCCCATCGGGAGATGTCCTATATGGGAAAGACTTTAGAAGAAGTTCCTCAGGAGTGAATTTGTGGCTAATGGTTGGGCTATAGAGCGCCGTAAGAACGAGAAAGATAGAGAAAGGAGACATCACACCTCTCTCATGTCCGAACGGTTACTGAGGGTTCCTCTTCTCTCCTCCCCCTACGTCGGGGGTTAGGGTGGGGATGGACTTTGTCCGTCTGTCTGGAGGGGTAGCTTCGTAGATAATTTTCCAACTGGGAAAAAAATATTCCTCAAGGTGTTCTTAAAGTTGAATGGAAAAAACTGAAATAAATAGCCTTTGGATGGAGTATTTTATGATAAAAAACAATGTGTTAGCTCATTTTTTAAAATCAAACCAAATGAAAATAACATATACAAAACATTTGTAAAATGTATTTTTTTTTACTGAGAGTAATTAATTAAAAAAAAAAATCTTTTAAAAACAACTTCATCAAACAATAATTAATATTTTATTGAAAATTTCTATAAATTACTTTTATTGCTAATTAATAATTGATCATAAAGAGAAGAAATTCTATAAAAATCATTTCTTATTCCAAAATAATAAAACAAAATAAATTGGATACCTAAAAAAGGTATCTTATTATTATTACAGGTATTACATGCCTATTTTTAAATGAAATTAAAAGAAATATATTCATTTCTAGATAATTTCTTGTTATTCATAAAAATTAATCTTGATAAAAAAAAAGTAAAATGAATTTTTTCCAGGATGGTTTATTATTTATTTGTTGAATTAATTATTAATAGCATTATTAGTAAGGAGATTCATGTGTAAAAAACTTTAAAGTCAGCTATGCAGCTGCATTCCAAATCGAAAATAAATTCGAAATCTTGTACAGACCCTTATTTTTAAATTATTAACATCTGCGTGAAATGTCGAGAAGGACCTCAACTTATCTTAACAAACAATTATTTTATTTACACTAATTCTAAATTGGGCGTTTCCTCGTTTAAATTAATTCCCTATATTCACTAAAAATCATAAATATTTATTTACTTTCGACTTGAATCGTATGATAATTTGATCACGAAATCGAACAAAAAAGGTGGCTAACAAAAATATTTTGCTGTTTGGCCTACATAACCTCGTTATTTTGACATATTGGGATGTAGGTCGCGCCAAAAGGCCCCATATTTTTTTAAGGCCACATTTATTTTTGATTTTACGGTCAAATTATCTTACGATTCAAGTGGAAAGCAAATGGGTGTTCATGAGTTTTTAGTACTTAAGTAAATAGACGAAGTAAATCTCCAGATTGAATTTTCGGAAATCAACAAAAAGTTATAGATTACTATTAGATGAATCTATCCAAGAAGTTTTAGGAGACTGTTTATAATTTGATAAAATAGGATCTGCGCCACGGACTATTGGACTAAGAAGGCCTCTTGCTTGATCAACAATGGAAGGGATTTGAGACAGAGCTTATAGAAACAGCTAAATGTATATAGGTATTATGAGAAACAAAAAGTCAACTACCTTGCTAAAACTTGTTGGGGAACAAAATAAAAATAAAAATCCACTTCCTGAATTAAGTCCTCCAACGAACAAGACAGACTACGCTGAGGCTGAAAAATTGGAATTCCTGTATGTCAGAGATATGGAGGTAGCTATAAAAAAGCAACCGAAAGGACTGCGTATCCTTCGGACTATTTATTGCCTAAAAACCCAGATATTGAATCTGGTCCAGAAAATCAAGAAGGATGAAAGGATGCCTGAAATTTGAAACTAGTGTAATCTGTCTTGTAAAAAGAGCTCCTCGATGTAGGAGTGTGGCGATTACAGAGGCACTCCTCTCAGCTACCTACAGAACAGGAGGATGAAGTTCCTTTGAGGTAGAAGCCTTCGTAGAGAGGGGCTGTCCACAAGGATCAGTCCTTGGTCCAGCTCTATGGAAACTAGTTTTTGACGAGTAGCTGGTTGTTTTAGAAGAAGATCGGTTCCCAGCTAGTGCTTACGTGGACGATTTGGCCACAGTTGGGCTCGGAACAGTGCGCCAACCTGATAGTGTGAGTGACAAGATAGTGTGGGAGGGAAAAGATGAAGATGGCCGCTGCTAAAACGTAGGCCATACTCCTGAGAGGGAAAACTGATAGGGCCCATCCTATCACTCTACTAATACAAGGAGAGAGTTCCAAGTGAGGTGATAAGTTACCTTGAAGTGAGATTTGGAAAAAAATTCAACATAAAGCCTCATTTGGACTGGCAGGCAGGCTGGCAGGGTCAACCTCTCACTAAATGGGCTCAGTCGAATCAGGAGCGCTCTTTGGGGCCTCAGGTACCCAGCGACAATGACAGTTTATAAAGATGTTGTGCAGAGTATTGTGAGGTATGCTTCCCCGCCTAGTATCGTAATCCCTCAAGAAAAAGAAAAACAGGTTAGCGACGATACAGAGAACGGCTCTACGATACGAACTACGGGCAACTAAGGCCTACAGGATTGTTTCACACGAGGCAGTGGAAGTCTTGGCAGGAGGGGTTCCTCTCGACCTAATCCTGCTCGAAGATGCTACAGTGTTCGGCTATAAGAGAGAAGGCTCGGCTGTGGTTCCGGAGATCATGCGAGTGAGGATTGCAGGTGAGCATAATAGATGGAAACAAATAATCCCGGAGCACACCATCGAGGGATAGAATTGACGATGGTGGAACACCCCGAAGGGGGCGATGCTAAGGAAGTTCTTTCCGACAGTGCACTCAAGATTAACTGCGAAATGGGTGCTCCCTGACTACTGGGTTTCGGAAGTCTTCACGGGACATGCATGCTTTCGGGCCAAACTGCACAGTTTTGGCAAGATCGTCGACCCCCTGTGTCCCAGATGCCGCTTGCCAGAAACTGCCGAACACTTAGTAACGATCTACACTATATTCGAAGGATTTAGGGACAATTTAAGAGGAAAAGGGGATTGTACGTCGTGACAGAAGATGATTTCCCTTCCCTTATGAAACAAGAGAACTGCCCGCATTTCGAAGAATTCGTATTCGGGTGGAAGAGGACTGTGGAACCGAAACACTTTAACGTTTGTGTCCCTAGGTTAAGAGAGGAGGCGGCAGGAAGCAATCCAGAATGAATATGTGGACTTCAGTTGAAGCACTAACGTCTAACTGGCTGAGGTAGCTTGATAAATTATTTATTACGCTACCATCACCAAAATTCGTATTGCCATAAGCTAAGGTAGGATGAAAATAAATAAAGAGGCACTCCTCTCAGTTTCATACAGGATAGTGACTATTATCGTAATCTACGTATCAGTATAATATACAAGTTTAAAGCTGGGAAATGGACTCTTGCTGACGCTGTTCAACTTATCCCTTAACGAGGTACTTACAACAGCATCAAGTGAATATGAAGCAAACTCCTTTTATTCGAAGGAGATGAAGTATTCATCGAAAGGTATCTAGACGATATTAACAATTGGCTAAGACGCGAGATAAGAGAACTTTGTAAATCAACCTTCAAATAAATGAAAATAAAATTAACTTTATAATAGTAAGCCAAAAATCCCTCATGTCAGCGGGATCTTTATGGATTGCGAATCTTTCTCAACAGCATAGTGACTCGAATACCGGCGGCATATTATGAAATAACTTAAATAAACTGGATAACATCTAACACAAATTTATATTCTTTTTCAAAGGTTCAGAAGTACCGAAGTGTCTCTAAGAATCCTAAATTAAGACTGCAACAATACTGCGGTTCAATAAGTTGTCATGGCTTCTAGACATGGGTTCTAATTGGCACTTTAGAAAGAATAATAAAAAATTTTTGAAAGGATAGTATGTTTGCCATAGCTATTTGAGAATAGAGTGGATGTACAGAATCTAATCTTTCAAAATCGCATGATATGCAGGCAAGAAAGTTAAGATGGGTGGAGTACGTAGCTTTAGAAGGCCTTTACACATCAATAAATTCTACAGTAGTTGCAGCAGATAAAGCTTCATGTTCTGTGTTAGTGAAGTCAGTAAATGGTGTAAATACCGATGAAACATGATCAGCAAGTAGTTCAGATTTTTTGATTATCAGACAAAGCCCATGAACTATCTTCTTTTCGTAGGGGTACCTACATCTCTTGATGTTTCAACAAATTCTTGGCATGCTTCCATAAACTTCCATCGTCAGTTGATAGGTTGTTAAAATAAGCGTAATCATTTCTCCTCTTGAATTTTTGTATTAATCGCTTAAGTTCATTATTTAGTCTGTTAAATGTTCGTCTATCTAAGGAAAGTCTGTTAGTATGTCATACCCTACCTGCTTTCCTCTTTTTTGTGCTCAATCTATTCATTTACATACTGATGATATTTTTGCAAGTGTTCTGTTCTTGATGAACTTGATAGATATGAAGTCCAAGCAGCTTTTGGGACACATTTCGTAAATTTTTCCAAGACCTTTTCTAGTTTATCTTCAGTTTAAATTGAACCGGAGATTGAGAGTTCGGAATCCGGAATTGCTCTGTTAGTATCCCAATGCATTGTACTATTAGTGAGCTTTTGTGTTCATGGAAGGTTTCAGGGCTCATCCAAGATAACCTAATGTATAAGGAAATGGTCAGAACAAAGACCAAAGCTCTATTTATGAAGCTTTTGGTCATGAAAAAGTCACGTAGGTCTAGAGTTTTACGTCGCGAAGTTGGCCAATAATATCTAATGGCAGCTCATTGATAGCAGCCTTCATATTTCTTCTACTTGGTGTACAAAGTCTTGATTCCCATAATTGATGCTTTGTATTAAAATCACCGCCCACTATGAAGCAACGCCCAATTCTTTGAAAATAATTGCAAAGCATCGAAAGTATTAATACAAACCTTGGAGGACAATAAACTAAAGCAGTAGTTATTGTGTGATGATGTTATGTAGTGTTTGGCCTGTGGTTTGTATGTCTGGTATTGTATAGTAGGTAAGTATTACCGTACCGCTGTGTACATGTAGTTGTTGGGATGGTTCTATGCATAATGTTACCAGAAATGTTAAATTTAGTTCGTGGTTTAAAATGTGTTACTATTGTGATTAATACTTTCTCGTGTAAATATAAGTCCAATTCTGTCCTATGTTGCATTTAGACTGCAATTTAGTCCGTTTGCATTCCACAG